AATCTGATTTCTTTCTGGTGTTAGTGGACAATTTTACCATTGGCAAGAGCGGCCGATGTTGACTATTACACATCGCTGATTTACTAAAATACTGTCATAACTCAAAAAACTGTATTTTTCCGTAGACAGGTTTCAAGTTTTCAATTTGCGAATATTAACTCCTCACGCAAAAACTAACACAATTTTACCATGAGATATTTTACACATTACGAAGCAGGAGCGATAAATGTAGTTTTTGTTTATCTTTCTTTTATATTCGGTCTATAGTGCTGGTTAGCTCGCGTGGTGAATGATTCATCATTATCGTATACAATGGGCTTTTGATTGCTCATTGAGTTCCTTATCTTTTATTTTTTACCCTATTAAAAGTGTCTTTACAGTTTGATAGACCTTTTCATATTGGGCGAACTACAAAATTCTTTGGAATATTCCTTTTTTGTTTTCATAAAACGTGGCTTTATCAACTTTTCACTCTAAGCTGGCGATATGTATGTATGAATTTTTTTTTTTTAGAAAACTCGATGCAAGGTATATTGAACAGGTAGTATCAGTAGAGCAGCTGATTTGATTTATTTTCAAATTATTTGGTCTCGAAAATGTCAAATATTTTTAATTTTTTCTCACAAAAATTCTGAATTGTTAAAATCCATTTGCATGTGAAACCTTTTTCCATACAAAACAAGCGATTGAATAGCAGCTTTTGGAACGTTCGCCCAACTCAGCAGCACAACCGCTGATTACTGGCCCTTGTAAAGGATGGATCAATGCTTCGAGAAGCAAACAAATTTACTAGGAAAGAAAGTTGCATCAATTTTTATTTTTTCCAATTTCAATTTTTTATTTTTTATAATTTTTTGTATTTCACATGGCACGCTTTGATTTAGAAGAAAAAATTCAGTACAGTTTTTACCACTTTCGATACCAGAAGCAACAAAAAAATACACGCAAATGTTGTTTTTGCTCTACTGATACTACCTGTTTATTGTGCCTTGACTCGATGTGATATTTGAAAATATTCGAAACTGGCAACGAAATGCTATATAATTTATTCAGATTTTTTTTTTTGACGGAGATAGTTGGGGTTATCACTGAATCCATTGTAGTCCGATTTTTGTTAAAATCACAAAAATGCGATCACTCAACCGAATTGCTACTAACGTTTGCATCCAAAACTATATCGACGGCTTATATGCAATAGCCTCTGTTTGCAATTTTCAAAAAAATTAGATTTTGATTAAAAAAAATCCATCTACGCTGTATATCGTTTGTAAGACTATTGAGTTGCAAAGTTGAAATGAACATCAGTCCTGACAGTTAAGTCCCAGACCTGTTATAATCAGGGCCATCACAGAATCCATCGTAGAAAATCTACGAATACGAAAAAAAATGCTATCACTGAATCCGAGTAAACTCGAAAATATCGAAATCAGCCGTAAAGGAAACAATAGAGACATACACTAGCCGATATCTGAAAGGGTACACCTTGTATAATTTAACAATTATTTTCATGAATAATTTTCTCACTTTATATAAAGTTCATAAAAATTCAAAAAATTTTCCTCAAAATTTTCAACTTTTTATTCAGAATTTTCAAGTATGCAGTTTTCTAGGCCACTCAATTTTAGTCGAATGAGGTGCTTGTTTCAAACGGCTTAAAAATCCCGTTGATTTTTGAGAATTTTTTTCAGTTAACGGATTTTTGCACTTTTTTTCCATATTTCTAAGCATGACGCCCGCTATAGGGGTGAGAATTTCTTATGAAATAAAATGCAGGAAACGGTTAGCAACAAAATTTCAAAATTAACGCAAGTTTTTATAAATTGCACTTATTATATAAAAAAAAACACAAAAGCGATCTTGAAAAAAATTCTCAAATATCAACGGGATTTTTTAGCCGCCGGTTGAAACTTGCTCTTCATTAGACTAAACATCAATGGGCTACAAAATTGCATACTCAAAATTTTTCTGGAAATTCTGAAAAAGTTGAAAATTGTGCTAAAATTTTTTTTAATTTTTGTGAAACTTTGACTTATATGGTGTATATTATAGAATGAACTAAATTTTCATAAATAATTAATGCAAACAATTTTTCATCAAAATAATTGTGAATATTATATAAGAACAAGGTGTACACTTTCATTTGCCGCCTTGTGTATATTTTGCTTGCGCTGCCCCAACAGTCGCAATGGCCGTCCCAACCAGCAAAGAAATGTAAATTTTGTCGACAATGCAGTTTAGTTCAATTTTCCGTATCCGAAAACGAATAGAAAAAACTTCTGCAGTTAGCATCAATTTTCGTATCCGGAAAACGTTCGAAACGTTCGAAAAAGATGATGTCATTTGAAAGCAATAATTGTATTTTATTTGCTCAAGCTAAACATTTGAAAGCATGCATGCGTAGTTGGCAGTGGCTGAGCGTGCAGAGGAGTGTGCCGCTATTTGTTAGCTTCCAGAAGGTGCCGAATTCCGTCAGGCGCTTCCTAATTTTATTTTATTTCTTTTGAATCATGAAAAAGTATCTGTGAAGTGTAGAAGGAAAGCGTATTTAACGAAAAATTCAATCAGACAGATTTCAGAAAAAACACCCGAAAACTTATCCGTTTCACACACTGTTGTCTGGACATACGTTCCTGCCGCACACTTTAGTGGGGAAAACGGATCGTCAATGTATCCGGAAATGGAATCAGTAAACGGATATAAATGCGCACTTCATCCACTTTTTTGTCCTTTTTCGGATCGCTTTTCGGATTTTTTGCTGGCTGGGGTGTAAGTAAATCAGTGTGCCATGTGAGAGGTCCTAGGTACGAGTCCAAGTCTTCGGTGAGCAGAACTTTTTTAAATCAGCATTTAATCGTTATTTTATGATTTTTATTTCTTTTTCGCTTAAAAATAATAATTATTATTAAGTTTTATTTTCCACTTGAAAGTAATGATTACACAGGTTTACAAAAAAAAAAAAGTTTCTGCATATTGAACCAAACCTCTATATCCCTACGTTATTCAACGCGCTGAATGCAAATACGAGGTCTGTTAGCCCCCATAACGTCAGGTTCAAGGTCATTCTAGGGTCAACTAGGACAAAAAATGTATTCAATAAAAAAATTTTTTTTTTTTGTTTTTGGTGCCGCTGAATCCGGATGTGGGGGAACCTTGATTCTTCAAGGTCATTTAGAGATTATGCTCAGGTCAACCCAGGTCAAATTCAGAAGAATTGTGTTGAATTTTCTGGTTTATGCAATGTATCTGTCCCTACTTAACCTTCAAATGACCTCCAACCTGACATGATGGAGGCTAACATGCCTCGGATTTGCATTCAGGGCGTCGAATAACATAGAGATATAGAGGTTTGGTTCAATATGCAGAAACTTTCTTTTTGTAAACTTGTGGTATTTATAAAATTTAAAAGATCATACGGCAACCAACTGAAATTCTGACCTACAAATTTTTGGACTTATTCCTTTAAATAGGGTGTCCCTACCTCTGGAAAGGATAGGTCGGAAGTCACGCTGGTATAGCTGTTGAGTTTTTTGAGTAATCATTATTCTTAATTGAAAAAATAAAACAATAATAATTATTATTTTTGAGCATAAAAAAAAAAATACAAAATCAAAAGATAATCATTATTTTTAATCGAAAAAATAAAAACTAAGCAATAATAATATCCTTTGAGCGAAAAAATAAAACTCAAATATTAATTATTATTTTTAATATTTATTGGTTAAACTCGCAAAATAAAAATCATTGTAAATTACATTAGGACGTAGGAACACAAGTACGTGAGTAGAGTTAAAATTGTTTTACGATGATTACGACTTGGTTGATTTTTTTGGCTAAATTAAAAAAAAAATAATAATGATTATTTTCCGTCCCAGATTAAAAAAAAAAAATGATTATTTTCCGTCTCTGATTTATTTCTTGTTTATGTAAAAACTCATCTATGTTGTATGTAGCGTGAATTTCCAGTGGGATCAAATCGTTTTCAAACGTTTAAAATTCTGTCAAAACCAACCACTGCGTATTCACCTTTATCATTGATTTATTTGGGAATCAATTTGTTAATATGTATGTCAAAATACGAGTACACACAATTGTACATTCGTACATACCCAGCTAGCACATTTGCCAGACAATTTCTGATATCAGACAAGTCGGAATAAAAAGTTGACTATTTAGACAAGTCTTACAGGTTTCGTACAGATTTCTGGGCGAAATGTCTGGATAATTTTATTTATTTCCTTATCCGATATGGCTGATCGAATTATGTCCAATTTCGGACATACATGTCTGATAATTCTTATTTTCCATGATTATTTGGTCAGACATCTGTTGGATATTCGTCAGAATCGTCGGCAATTAAGTGAGAATTTCCCACGTTGTGTCGGTTAGACTTCCCGTCAACCTCTCCATACGTTTCTCTGACCGATATCGGCTAAAATCGTACAGATTTCTGACTATGTTGCTAGCTGGGTATGTTTGTTTGTGTATTGCTTACCTTTTGTATTTGTTTGTTGACAGGTATTTGTTTATTTACACAGTTTAAAATGTGTGTACATATGTTCCTAAAATACTTGGGGCCTGCGGCACTATATACATACGAATATAATACGTATGTATGTACANTTTCTCTGACCGATATCGGCTAAAATCGTACAGATTTCTGACTATGTTGCTAGCTGGGTATGTTTGTTTGTGTATTGCTTACCTTTTGTATTTGTTTGTTGACAGGTATTTGTTTATTTACACAGTTTAAAATGTGTGTACATATGTTCCTAAAATACTTGGGGCCTGCGGCACATTATACATACGAATATAATACGTATGTATGTACATATGTATGTATGTATATAATGTGTATAATTTTTATTTTATCTAAAAAAAAGTAATTGATAAGCGCCTGACCACTAACAACGCATGGCAACAAATATATTAAATATAAACATATCTAAATGCCTACATTAATGCAGATATGTACGTATGTATGTAACTACATGATATCTACATATTTACATATGTATATGATATGTATTAATTATCTATTGTGATTTAATCAGAGGCTACAATTAATCGCGTACGTGAGCAAACAATAATATAAGACATTATTTAAAAGCCATCATTTTTAACGCAGGAGCTGAGAAATCAATTAACTTTCTACCATAAAACATTCACCGTTTGGAGTTGTCAATTGAAAGACAATTTAAAGTGAAAACGTTTTCCTCTTTATGTGAATATAAAGATACGAAACGGTGAAAAGTAAAAAAGTGATTTTCAAAAATGACTGCTGTGGATTCTAAATCTGCAGAACGTTCTCTTTGGGAAAATATTTTGCAGCGAATAGAGATTTTTATGTGGGTTTTAAATCAAGCCTGTATTGGATTTGTAACGATTTACATGTTTTGGATATGTATTTACAAAGGCATGGGTACTATGGAATTACATGCCTTCCTAGTAACCATTGGGGTAAGTTGATACTGAAATCTAGTTGTGAAAAGGATATTATAGAAATGTGCTTGTTGTGCGGAGTGTTAAATGATAAGGTTTAGAAACTCAAGCAAAAAGCAAAAACCTCATTTATTTACATACTAATGTATGTACCTTTTTAAAGCTGTTTTAAACAAAATCTATACAACTGAAATTGCGTTATGGCAATATTCGCTTTCAAAGTCAACCACACATAGATGCTCCTCTTTGAAATGGACCATCCCGGTGTGCGATTTTACGAAAGTTAAAAATTTCATTTGATGGCCCAAAAAAAGTGAGAAGTTTGCAAATTCATAAAGTATTTAATGATCGTAACTGGTTTCATATTAGGCTTTAGAGACCCAGAAAAGATAATAATATCGTACTTTCAATAATATAGAGAAATAATTCACATTTTTTCGTTTTGGAGATTTAATCATTTAGTCTCCTGAAGTACAAGTTTGAAGCGTCAAAAAAAATGCACTGATTTTTAATAGCTTTTTTTGCTGACGAATTTTTGCACTTTTTTCCATATTAGCATGAATTTCTTGTAAAATAAAATGCGGGAGACCGCTCGCAACCAAATTCGAAAAAAAAAAATCAAAGCCAGTTTTTGTAAATTGCACTTGTTCTAAAAANTGTAAAATAAAATGCGGGAGACCGCTCGCAACCAAATTCGAAAAAAAAAATCAAAGCCAGTTTTTGTAAATTTCACTTGTTCTAAAAGAAAAATATTAAAAGTTAACGCTATTTTTTAGCCGCTTGAAACTTGCACTAAAATTGTATGGGCTATAAAACTGCATACACAAAAATTATGTAAAGATTCAGATTAAAAAGTTTGAAATTTTTATGAAAATTTTATAGACGGAGAGCTCATGACAAAAAAACTCATCATATTTCAGATCGATTGAAATTTTTTGCGAGCTTAGCTTGTTAATATATAAATCGAGATCTGGAGGGCTGGCTGCTGAACAGCGGTCTTGATTATGCATTTTTAGCGATTAAAGATGTCTATGAAAACCGAATACTCAACATACTTCACACGACTTGAAATTTAGATACAATTTTATTTACAGTGCATATAAAATGAATTCAAGGTTGCCTGCCAATTCTGATGGTCTTAAAGTATTGCCAGCTTATGTTGAAATTGCATTGTTGCAACTGTAAAACAATATACTTCAGATGTGCTGTCCTTATCACCGGACATTATTCATATTATAAATAGATGAAATGTCTACAACAGCCAGCCCCTTCTGATGGTCTTAAAGTACTCCAATTTTGTAAAAGAAGCCACTTTATTGTCTCTTCTTTTATCATTATTAAATACACATTCTATTGAAGATTCCATTTTTATAAATTAGCGAGATAATCTGAAAAAAATTGTAAAATTCTGACAAATAGGGACTGATTAATCATGACTAATGTGACCATCTATCCCATTTACTGCCAATTGTCTGCCACGAAAGTCAGTCTCGCTCACTCTCACGGGAATTACATTTTTTACATTTTTCATATGATGTGACCATCAGAAGGGGCTTGCTGTAGACATTGCATTNACCATCTATCCCATTTACTGCCAATTGTCTGCCACGAAAGTCAGTCTCGCCTCTCCTATGATGTGACCATCAGAAGGGGCTTGCTGTAGACATTTCATCTATTTAAAAACCGACTTCCGCAAAAGGAGGAGGTTATCAGTTCGTCGGAATATTTTTATTTTTATTTTTTTTTATGTATGTTACCGCATAACTTTGGACCATGTCAACCGATTTCGATAATTCTTTTTGCGTCGGAAAGGTAGTGTCTCAGAGGTGGTCCCATACTAATCTGGTTAAGATCCGATCAGCGGATCATGAGATATATATATATTTTTTTCTTTTATATGAGAGTTGAAGTCGGTTTTTTTATGCTAAAAATTACTTCTAATATTAATAATTTGCTGTGATAAGGACAGCCCATCTGAAGTATGTTGACTTATAGTTGCAACAATGCACTTTCAACATAACTTAAAACTGAGTAAAAGCACTAAGCTTATATAAGGAATACATACATACGTACACATGTACATATGTGTAACGCATTAAAAGAAGGTTATTCCAAAAACAGTTAATGATCAGCTCAAATTTCCATACCTTTCGCCCACAACAAGCACATTTCAGCCTTACTACTCTTTGAATTAAAGCTCATTGAATATCCTTTATAGTTCTCTCTACTCATGGCCGAAGGCATAATGTGTCATTATAGTATTAACCCATTAACAAATGGTTTTAAACGCAAAACTAAAACTACCATTCATTGGGTACTACTCACATTGGGCGGCGGTTGTGGTGTTGCCGGCTGTCTTGTTATGATAGTTATAGTAAAACTAAATATGGATCAATTGCACAACAGACTGGGTAAGCGTTTATGGAATTTGAAAATAAGCTTTATCTCGCATTTAACTAACTCTTTTACTTTACAGGTTTCGCTGCTTTTATTCTCTGTCTAATCAGCATGCTGTCCGGCTTGAGTGCCCTCTTTTCAAGTTATTTACGTCGCATTCTAAGTCCTTTACTAAATAAAGGTTTTCACAATTTAGTGGGATTTGGTACATTCTTAACGGCGCTGCTTGCACAATATTACGGTTACGAATTCTTCCATTCAAGTATTATATGGTCATTTATAAATGTACTACAAGTGGTGACCCTTGTCTCGCTAGTACTCACTTCCATAGGCCCGCTTAAGGCACTTTATCAGAAAATCTCAAGTTATTTTGATTGAATTAGACGTTATCTAGTTTAGAAGCCAGGTATCAATGTAAGTGATCAAAGTAGTTGTGAAGTATTTTAGTTGTAATTTTTTTTTTTGTAAATACGAGTACATTATCAAGTTCAAGTATATGTATATATATATCTATCTATGAATGCATGTATTTGTACTATACATCATTCATTTTATTCATAAGATTTGTAGATAAGTGAATATTTTATAGTTAAAAAGTAGTTTTGTAATGTCGTAATAAAAGGGAATTTTAATTTACTAATACACCTTATGTTTTGCACATTAGGATGCCTCGTTAGAAACAATGCAGTGCACCAAAGTGAATCATTAGATTTGGCTTATTTATGGCCCTTTTTAATATTGTTTTAAAGCTCGATTTGTGAATTGAGCTAAGTTGAAAATGCGTCCCAAAACGCGAGGGCTGGCAATTCTTTTTTTTAGTTTCACTTTTATTTCAACAAATTTTGATTACAAGAAAAATACTGATAAAAATAAAAATTTTCATAAAAACAGGGTTGAAATTTGAAATTCCTGCCCGTATAGTGTTTGTAAGTCAAATATGAGTGGCATTGTGCTACTATGAATGCAAGGCCGAGTAATCATAGCCAACTTATGTACAGTAGTCGAAAAAATTATAGCCGCACCAAATTTTGACAAGTTTTAAAATATTATTTTTGTTGTTATTTAATTTCGGTTAGTTTTTTATAGTTCGTTCTTTACCAACATCCGTATAAATACAAGTTTAAAGGCAGTGTCACACGATTGGGCATTTGCTAAAATTTGGTGTAAATCGTATCCCAACTGCTTGAACACCCAAAATATTTTTCACTATACCAATCACGAAAATTGATTTATTGAATTTTTTTCAATAGAACATCGCTGTATTGTACCAATCTTTTGAATTCAAAAAAAAAAAAATTGTCCCACTTTTTTTTTACCAATAGCCCAATATAAAAACAACACAGAACACCTACATCAAGTAATTTTATCGCAGGATGTATACATATGTAATAAAATAAAAAAAAAGGATTTTAATTTTTTGAGTTCCTATAGAGGAATCTGAACTTTGCCCCCTGTGCGACACGTCTTAGTCGTCTCCAATTGGGGCCAACATTTAAATGTTATATCTATCCGTAGTATTACCGATTGAGGGGGTGAGACTGAAAAAAATCGTTCATTTATTTTAATGAGCTCTCTTAAACTCTTTGCCATTGCGATTTGATACCCGCATTGCGATATTTGATCAGTTCTATAAATTCAATTTGATTTAACTTTATAAACAGGTGGCAATTCTTCTTAAACCTGAGACGAACACGTATACGGCTTTCTACAATCGGAATACGGCAACATAGAGTCTATCGATCGATATACAGATAATAAGTGAATTGTAGCTCCTTCCTAATCAACTTAAGTTTAGCTTATAGTTAGAAACATTTCCTGCAGCGGATGTTCAGCTTTGAGCAGCTTTTCTTTTATGTACCATATACACCAGGCGACAAATGAAAGTTCTAATATAACTAATATTCACAATTATTTTCATGAACAATTTTTTGCATTAATTATTTACGAAAATATAGTTCATTCTCTAATATAAACCATATAAATCTAAGTTTCATATTTAAAAAAAAGTTCGTCAAAATTTTCAACTTTTTATTCAGAATTTCTAAAAAATTTTCAGGTATGTAATTTTGTAGCTCATTCATTTTTAGCGAAGTGCAAGTTTCAACCGGCTAAAAAATCGCGTTGATTATTGAGAATATATATTTTTTTTTGGAGACTGCTTTTGCGGTTGAATGGGCTACAAAACTGCATATTCGAAATTTTTCTAGAAATTCCGAATAAAACGGTGAAAATTTTGATGGACATTTTTAGAATTTTTGTGAACTTTATATAAAGCATGAAACTTTGTGCTATATGGTTTATATTATAGAATTAACTATATTTTCATAACTAATTAATGCAAAAAAATTTTGATTAAAAAAAATGTAAATTTATGTATATTAGAACAAGGTGTACACTTTCATTTGTCGTCTAGTGTATGTATCTATGTGGCATATGTTCATTGTTTGACTGTGTGTTGAAAGGCGTCGACTTTTATTCCCCAATTTAGAAGATTTCCCTTCAAGTTCTGTTGGGTACATATGTAAATATGTGCATGAATTTGTGCATATTTTTAGCTAATCTACAATTCTAATGATTGTCCATGGAACACAACCTACTTTCAATTCGAATTCTGGCATGGTAGTTAATCATTGCACTTTCATTTATCTTTACAACGTACACTTAAACGTGCATAGATATGTACATTCAAATACATATGTATGTATGTATGTGCAAGCCTTTGAAACTCACGATCACCGCACGTTCACTTTTTAACAAGCGAATTGTTATATTTTTTTTTTTTGCACAAACAAAATCAACGCTTAAATTTGTCTTACCACAGGGAGATTTGTGAAGTGTGTTACTTTATTCCGAAAGTAATTATATCTTTGTAACCATATGTACTTTGTTTAGTTAAATTGTAGTTTTAATTTGCCTTAGCATCTTTTAAACTAAATTAAATTCTACTATGAGATGTTGTCGCGCCAAGAAATGCCGCCAAACAATGTAACAGTTTCTTTCTATCCGCTTTGGCGTACACTCACAACTTCCTCTTATTGAGTTTGAAGCGCAACTGACTCAAGTTGGCGTTCAGCGCAATTCATTTCAAATTCATGTTATGTAAAAACCGATTATCTGATTTTGCAGATCATATGCCGCAATAAATCTTGATACATTTCCTAAGAACAGCTTTAAGCGCAAAATTTTTGCGATTTGAAATGACATCACCAGCCCGTTATGCTCCAATGCCGCTTGTGGCGTACGATTGGTAAAGCCCCCAGCTGCATATTTTGATGATTAAGCCAAAGCATTCGACAAATAAACACAATCGGAACATTTTACACTTATCTGCTTTTATTTTCTTTTACCACGGCGGACCGGCAACTTTCACGTGCTTTACATAAAATAGGTAATACTATTTTTAATAGGCACAATCTGTGTATGAGTATGACTGTCAAGGGTAAACGTTCAAATGTTTACCTTCGTGGTGGGTTCTATAAATAAAGAGTATTTCATGTTATACTAAAGTGCTGAGATAAACAATAGCAAGTGATAAAAAAAAAATTATCAAATCGCGGAGGAAAAAGTATGTTCTAAAGCTATTTACGGCAAAACTAGAACTTTCACTTCAGCAGCATTCCCAAACCAATAAGATATCGCACACCGTCTTCAAAAGAGTCACAACTCAAAATAATACGTTCGTCACAAAATGCGAAAAACTAATTCGTAGCACATGCTACTCATATGGGCAAGGGCGACTTTACTTCAGGTTTTTTTTAACAAATTATAACAAAAAAATTTTTGCTGAAAGGTAAATAAAAGCTCTGTGTACATTTTTAGCGCATAATTTCAAAAATGCCAAATTTTGAGTTGTGACTCTTTTGAAGACGGCGTGCGATATGTACATACATACAGTGACGCAAACAAGTGACTACGTGGCGCTTTTTTTTTTTAATATCCATAATGTTTTTCGAGTTAATTTTTTTTTGTTATTTTTCTATAAAAATATTGTCCAAGCTTAAACCAAAATCAAATAAATCACAGTTTCAAACTTTATAAAAAATTTAAGAAAATTCAGCAAACTTAAATCTGACTCTTTAGAACATTTTTGGGTATGCAGTTTTATAACCCATACAATTTTAGTCTAATGAAGTGAAAGTTTCAAACGGCTAAAAAAACCCGTTGATTTTTTAGATTTTCTTTGTTGACGGATTTTTGCACTTTTTTTCCATAAAANTTTTTTTTGTTATTTTTCTATAAAAATATTGTCCAAGCTTAAACCAAAATCAAATAAATCACAGTTTCAAACTTTATAAAAAATTTAAGAAAATTCAGCAAACTTAAATCTGACTCTTTAGAACATTTTTGGGTATGCAGTTTTACAACCCATACAATTTTAGTCTAATGAAGTGGAAGTTTCAAACGGCTAAAAAAACCCGTTGATTTTTTAGATTTTCTTTGTTGACGGATTTTTGCACATTTTTTCCATAAAAGCATGAATCTCTTATGAAATAAAATGCGGGAGACCGTTCGCAACAAAATTTCAAAAAATCAAAGCCGGTTTTTGTAATTTCACTTTGGACAAAAATTGTATGGGCTATAAAACTGCCTATCCAAAAAGGTTTTAAAGATTCAGATTAAAAAGTTGAAATTTTGATGAAAATTTGTTGAATTTTCTAAAATTTTGATAAAGTTTGAAACTGTTATTTAAATATAACGCAGTATTTTTATAGAAAAATAACAAACAAAATTNTCAAAGCCGGTTTTTGTAATTTCACTTTGGACAAAAATTGTATGGGCTATAAAACTGCCTATCCAAAAAGGTTTTAAAGATTCAGATTAAAAAGTTGAAATTTTGACGAAAAATTGTTGAATTTTCTAAAATTTTGATAAAGTTTGAAACTGTTATTTAAATATGAAGCAGTATTTTTATAGAAAAATAACAAACAAAATTTAGCACGAAAAACATTACGAATATAAAAAAAAAATGCAGCAGCAACACGTGATTACTTGCTAATGATTACTTGTTTGAGTCACTGTATGTATGTGTATCTTTAAAAATAAAAATAAAAACACAATCTAAGCAAGTCTGCACTTATTTTTGTGATGGAGAATCAAAATTTATTATGACACCCGCAAGGCGAATTAATATAAGGTGATAGCAGGAGTACAAAAACAAAAATTTACATGTATTTTGTTCTTGCTTTGGTGGCATAAACTGTCAAAGTCTGTAAGTGTGTGTGTAGAAATTCAAACAAAATTTTTCAATTCGATATCAGAAGCCGTGCGGCGAAACACATACACAAAATCAGCTGAGCTAGTAACACCACCTTATATAAATTCGCCTTGCACACCCGCAAAATTATATGTCTCATAAATATTTTTTTTTTCCTTTGATTAACAATCGCATTTTTGCCACATTGTTTTGATGAAGGAGCTTTTCTTTATTAATCCATTGAGACCACGTTCTCGTAAAGTTCAATCGACTTAATACCAGGACCTAAAATGCCTCTGTTATCGTTTTATTAGTATCCTTNGCGGCGAAACACATACACAAAATCAGCTGAGCTAGTAACACCACCTTATATAAATTCGCCTTGGACACCCGCAAAATTATATGTCTCATAAATATTTTTTTTTTCCTTTGATTAACAATCGCATTTTTGCCACATTGTTTTGATGAAGGAGCTTTTCTTTATTAATCCATTGAGACCACGTTCTCGTAAAGTTCAATCGACTTAATACCAGGACCTAAAATGCCTCTGTTATCGTTTTATTAGTATCCTTGTAAGATATCCGATTAGGACTAT